CCCCAAAACCCCAAAACCCCTTTATATCAGATAATTATTTTTTTATTGAATTTAGAATTTGTAGAATTTCTTTATGATAAATTTTTAATTATGAAATTAAGATTATTTAACAAGTTACCCTGTTCTAATTATTGGGTTCATTGATCATTAAGAAATTAAACCATATTTCAAACCCTTTTTATGAACTATTCCCGTATCTATTTTAGAATAATTTCACTTCACATAATCCTCTGAAAATTGTTAAACTCTTCCTGTTAAAATTCTCCTGAATTATCAAAGTTAAGTATAACATTAGTTTACTGAATAGATCATCAATAATGGCAGCTCATTTACTTTTTGGAAGGTTTGGCAAAAATCATAATGGTTGTAGATGGATCGGATGCTGACTTGAATTATTATCCATCTTAATCTCTACAATTGAATTTCACCATGTGGATAAAAACTTTTACATAGTAAATCCTGGTCTCTTGCTCTTTTCATAGTTTATACAAATAGCATTTTCTACAGCAGCACTTTATACATCCCTTGCATACTATAGATCTGTCATACTCCTCACCGTACTAATCTCAATTTATTTATGGGTCTCAGAAGTTATCAAATCCCGCCTTCTTTATTCCTCAGGGTCATCTTCCTCATCTTAAGCTAAATCATAGCAAATTGGCAGTAGTAAGCTTTTAACTTAGTTAATTTTTTAATATCTTTATTTTTCTAATTCAACATATTAAAGAATGGTTGGGTCTATTTCATCATCTGTGCATCCAGATTTTTATATCTGATCTGAATCATAATTTTTAAATAACTTCAAGTACTATCTATCTTAATAGCATTCAGAGTTGAAAACTTTTAGGATTTTGTCATTCCCCTCTCTAATTATAGTGTCACAGTAATATTCTAAAGCCCCAGCACAAGGATAAAACTGCTCCTCGTAGTTTGTTAAGGTCTTAAATTTCTAAACCATGTCATCAAAGTAAATTCTGATTGTTTTTAATGCAAATTAATAGACTCTATCTTTCTTAAGGATATATCTCAAACAAAATTAGTCAGCATAACTTTCAATTTGCTTTTTTGTATTCATTTATTTCAAGCCTGTGTTTTATCTTTTCATCTTGGCCCAAGTAGCTTCAATATTGGATGTGAACAGAAATGGGAATTTTTCATGTGAGTAGCCACTTGAATGAACCACCCAAAAATGATACCAACCAAATAATGCTAGTCTAGATTTAGCACTTTGTAAACAAACATAAGTTGCGTGCTCGTCACTTACCACCACACCTCCAGGGTTAATGTGGGATTTGAGGAGAGGATATATATTCCAATGATTTCTATTTCTAATATTATACATAACACAGATTTTGGTGTCACGGCAATACATGCCAAATATCCATCTCTAGTGAGGAAATTTGGTGCCAACAGCATACTTCCTTGCACTAGACATAGTCTCATCAATTTCTACCACTCCAGGCAATTTCAAAAATGGCTTAATGTATCGTGCCCAGTAATGAGACATTGCAAATCTGTAAATCTTTTGATGTGCTTTTGAATGAGATGTTCTTAATACGCTTGATATCTGTGTAATCTTAAGCGCACTACTCTCTGACCACAGTCTTAAGAATAAATCGAATTCATCGAGTTTAATACCATTTAGTGGTGTAGATGTCGTCAATTCTAAGGAGTAAAAGCATAATGAGCAAGTCCATCGATAATCTGCATTGGCAATTAAATCTCTATTAAATAGCATTCTACCAAGACACATTGGACAGTTTCTTTTAGCATGAATCAAGCCTGCTTTAATCATTCCATATATACTTAAAATAATCGGGGTTGTTAGTAAGTCGTTCATCTTTTCAAACTTTTTAGGGAAAGTTGCCGAGATAGTATTGCTAAGTGAGAAATGAAATCAAAATTATAATACTAGGCATTTTAATTTATTAAAGTTTGAAAAAACTTTTTCTAATTAAACTAATATTTAAATCTAATATATGCTCTAGGGGTTTTGGGGTTTTGGGG